TAATCCCATCCATCATCCTCCTCCAAGCTGCCAGTTGGCTTCTGTCTTTACAACACTTTTCCTTTTTAAAATCTTTCAGTGTTTGCCCAGTGCCTCCCTGCAGTTGGCAGTTTGAGGGTGACTGGTCTCACCTACCCTCCCAAGGACTTTCCCATGGTTTCTGAAGGTGACTCTGGAGATTTGTCACTTAAACTTCTACCATCGACAAGTCATCTCACCTACCCTCCCAAGGACTTTCCCATGCAAGGAGGATGTGTGTTGGGACAGACCACAGAGTTGTCCTGGTGCTCAGGGCTTCATTGGGTTGGTTTCTGAAGGTGACTCTGGAGATTTGTGTTCGTAATTTATTTTAAAATGTCACTTAAACTTCTACCATCAACAAGTCAAAAACAGAGCACCAGCTCTATGCTGAATATTTAACTTGCTATGGGCAAAATATATGTACAAACCCTGTTTAAGAAGTATTACACATACTTTCCTACCTCTCTTTTTTGCCCTTCCTCTCCCTTGCTGATCTTCAAAGAAGATAAAATACACCTTTTCCCGAGAGCTTCCTTCACTCACAGAGCTAACATTTCTGGATGCAGAAAGACAGGAGTTTCCCTGGCAACCGGAGCCACCAGAAAATGTTTCCAGCACCTCCTTCCTTTACTCAGGTTCACTATTATTGTAGCCTTTGGTCAACCAGGTAGTAAAAGTGAATATGAGCTGAAAAAAGTACGTTAATATTGTGCTCCACTTAACTCACCTGGCCTCCCTCCCAACCACTAGAATAAAAAATGACCTCTGCAAAAGACCCCGTATCAAAATTCCCAGTGTCACAAGTCATGGCTGAGCTTCAAGGTCTGCCCTCTCCTGTACAATTGAATTAAACTTAGAGAGTGTCACAGTCTTCTGGGAAATGCTGTCAGCCACTAAGCAGCTTTCACTTGAAAACTGCGTGTTCTGGAGTGATGGAGCTGGATCTCTGCTGTGGCATGGTGAGCGGGTGCTGCACAGAGTCGTGCCAGTGATTCAGTTCACTCTTATCTCTGAGTCAGGGCTGAATTAATGTCCCAGCACATCGTTAAGCTTTTGAAGCAGTGTGCTGATTGGGGGCAGCTCTTTACTTTAGCTTTTGGTAATAAAAAAAAACAAGGCTAAAGTCCTTTTCACCTGCTATTGTTAAATATCACATATCTCTCTCCTGCCATGTCCCTTATTCATTCAAAGAATTTCACTAGGATTGTGAAAGAAAACAATTTATGGATACAAAATTCCTAATCTATGGTTGTCCTTCCACTTAAATGTAGCTATATTGTGTATCTGATTGGTGAATGAGGCAGAGACAACGGGGCGGGGGGAAGTTTTGTAAATATACGTGTTTTAGTGCATAGGTATCAGATAGTTGAATCTGTTGTTTTGAGTTTATTTGTTTGTTGCTTTTTGGTTCTGTTTTTTTAACATTTGAAGGCTAGAATTGATAACTAAACAATATTCCCTAAATATAGAATTTGATATATAGTTTTGCATTTGTAATGAAATGAATGTTCAGGTGATTTCTGTTGTGTTTCAAAAGGTCCAGTGAGGTGAATGCTGGCTCGAAAGTAATATAGTGAAAAAAGAGGGGCATGTGAGCCACAGGTTTGGAACAACAGTGCTGAAGGAAAGTTGTAGCTGAGTGGTGAGACTGCTTTCATGCTCTCTTCTTGAAATCTTTCCTTGCTTTCCCTTGATACAATGGTGACTTTTAACTAATACAAGCCCACAGAGGGAAGAGGGACTTCGGGTATCGGTGTGCAGACAATGTGGGCTAGGTCACTAGTAAAACCTTTCTTTTCTTCCCCTGTGACCTTTACTGCAGAACAGATGGGAAGTGCACAGAGTCACTGAGTAGCTCTTGTTGAAGGAGAGGAAGACTGTGATGGAGTACGGTTCTCCCTCTGCCCTTGCTTTTTCTTTTGTTGTCTTTGCAGGTGTTTCCAGTACCTGTGGTGAGATCAATTACTGCTCATAATCCAGATATTGAAGTTTTCATCAAGAAAGCAAACACAAGAAAGGAAAAGATTACTTTTAACAGTTTAAATGAATTTGGTTTGACTTTCAGGAGAGAAGGCAATTCTCTAGCCCAAGTATTTGCTTTCTAGTGAATTGCAAAGGCCTACAGCAGCCAAGAGCCAAAATTGAGCCTCCAATGTTGAGCAGACACACAGAAAGCACCAGGCACCTTAACTGTTGCCTCTGACTCATTTTATAATTTGCAGTGTTGTGGCCTAATTCCACCTTGTTCCAGTCCCATGTAGTTGCAATGCCTGCTCCGTTAAGGGTCAGTGACTGCAGCAGAGACCACATCCCCCATTTTTTTTTTTTTTTTTTTTTTTGCTAAGATAGGTGGAGAGTTTTGTCATGGAATTTAGCTAAAGAAAGAGTAGATTACTGTTCAACCACTGGTGCTTGGAGAAACTTTGAGTCTGCTATTAATCTTACTGAGGTTTTTTACATCATCTGTGCTTTAGATTTATGCAGAGCAATAATAGACTTCCCCATATAGAAATTTCTGATCTACCAGCAACTGCAGAGTGACAAACTATTGCTTCTTTCTTCCTCACTTCACCGTAACGTTTAGAACCCATTTTACTGATTATTTTGTGGCTGTATCTGCTTATATTTAAGGTACTTATGCAAATAATGTGATTGCTCATAAGAGATAAATTATGAGTGAATGCTAAAATATTGCTATCTTGAAGATCTCCTGTATATTTTAATTCTACAATGTGGAGAAGTCTGGGGAAGATATTAACAGGACATTGAAAATTGCCAAGTAAAAATATGTATGAGAAGATAGATCAATAGAAATTCCCTTCAGCACACTGGCAAGAGCCCAGGATCGAGGTACATTTTATGCTAAGATCTCACATTTTCTTCCAAAAAATATTACTGTCCCAGGTATGTGCTTCATCCTTGAAACATATTTGGCTCAGCAGTGTCTTTGTCATGTGTTCGCTATTTTATGTTTTTATCCATCTTCATTATGGCTGAAACTTTTAGACAGCTCTATATAGATGATGGTGAGCAGATGCTGACATTCTGGAGAAAGCAGTGACCACAGTCAAGGCCATCACCACATTTGCACAAGCCTTTGCCTCTAAGAGAGGGAATTCTGTACATTTGAAAGCTCTGACATGACTTTTAACTCTACAGCTGACATAATTTCTCATCTTGCTCATGGATTTTAAAAAAGTAAATGTTTTGGAAATAGAAACTGCAGACTGATCACAGACGCTCAACAAGGGGAGTACAAAGTAAAGATTCAACATTGGAAGAAGGCAAAGGAAACCCAGAGCCCCTTTCCTGTCCATTTGAGCTTCACCAAATGCCCAGAGAGGTACATCACTCTGCTATTCCCTGCAAAGACCTGCTTTCCTGCTGCACGCTCTGAGACGCAGCTAGCCTGACTGTTCCCTGCCTCTTCTAAGAAAGTGGGAACAACTCAGGGTCTTGCCTCGCCTCTCCTAATTTGCCATTTGAAGGGAAATCCCCTGGTGGGGATTTTATGATCTGCGTGTAAATTAAGGGATATCATAAACAGAGATTGCTGTGGTCTCAACCCCTGCTTGATGGAGTATATTAGGGATAAGCTCTGAGGGATGTGATTACTGCACACACCATCACTCCATCCCCAGCTGGAGCCTGTGGAGAGAAGAGTTTGGCAATTCTACGGGGAATTCTTGGCTTCTCACACGGTGTGGGACAGCTTGAATAAACTAAGGACAGCAACTGAGGTGCCTCTATATTTCAGTAGCCAGCTTCTGACCTTCCTCCAAGTTGCAAGTGTAAAGGAACAGGGGCACAGCCACACAGTGAGAAGAGTTTTGGACTCACAGTTGTGGAACTGAGGCATGAATGAGCTGATGAACCATGCAAGGCATCTAAATCGAAAATTCCTGGTTTACTCAGCATCTGTCAGCCTGTAAAAGCCTACAGCATTCAAGAAGGCAAAGAGGACCACTGCTTGAGGCCTGGGAGTGCAGAGTGAATGAGGAAAGGCAGCTTGGAAAACTGTATTAAAAATAAGCCTTCATTCGTTGCAGAACTTATTTATTGCTTTTCTTTTAATTTATCTGCCTCTTCGTGTTTAGACAGAAGTCATGTGAGCTTCTGAGCTGCAGGAACAGAGACAGAGGAGAACGCGTGCAGCGGTGCAGAGTGCTGCTGGAGCCAGGGAGGCAGGGGGAGCCTGAGAGGGAGAAGGCGAAGTGGTGGGAGCTGGAACAGCAGCAACTGCTGCTACCACGTCGCAGCTCACGCCCGGGAATCTGCTCCGATGCCAGCACGCCTCTCCTAAGGTGCAGGTCCCTCCGGTTTAAAAGTCCTAGAAGGTCGGTGGCACTTCCAGGAGCCAAGCAGAGCTGGCTATTTTTTTTTTTTCTTTTCCTGCAAAGAACATCTGTTTGAGGACTCCGCTCCTTTTCCTGAGGTATTTTGTATCATTAATGTGTCTCTTCTTTGAAAGCACTTATGGGATTGGGGGGAAAAAAAAGAAAATTGGGGCAGAATGTGGAAGTGGATGTACAGAGAGGTGGTGGGTTTCCCTTCCCCCTTTATAGCAGAGCTTAGGCAGTAAGGAGCCCCTCTCATTAGGATACAGTTTGACTTAAAATATGGAGGGTGGGAGAGACAGGGTTAAAGTGGGGGGGTGGATCTGAGCTCCTTCCCATCTGATTTGTTTGCAGTCTCTGAAAGTGGAAGAAAACTTTCCTTGTGCACCTGAAGAAGCAGCATCTACCCATCACACAGGGAGATGTAAAACTTGCAGTTTTTTAATATGAGTGAGGTTTGCTTAAATCTCTCCTTGGCAAATGACAGTTCCCATGACAGCAGAGCTCCCCTTAACATGTACAAATTTCAGAGGTCAAAAGGCTGTCATAGCACTTCTGTTTCTTTCTCTCTCTTTTCAGCGTACTTGCCTCCCGCTGCCTGCACTGTTCTCCCTGTCTGCCTCCTGCCCCTGGGGGCTGTGCCCCTATGGATGCCCCTGTACAGATTTTCCGGGAGGAGCCGGGCTCCACTTGCTCCCCAGGGCCCTGTCATCCCCCCAGCACCAGCAGCAGCTGGGTCCTGAGCTGGGCAGACTACGAGAGCAACGCCACTGGGGCCTTTGGGGATGCCCAGCACAACCACACCAGCATCTCCCCTGCCATCCCCATCATCATCACTGCTGTCTACTCGGTGGTCTTCGTTGTTGGCTTGGTGGGAAACTCTCTGGTCATGTTTGTCATCCTAAGGTAAGGGGCTTTGGAGTACTTGATGGAAGAGGTGCAAGCACCTGTCCAGGGGCTGGGGGGAGGGAGTAGTTTATGGAAGCTCTCTGAGTGTGCATACATGAGGAGCTGGAAAAAAGCAGCATCTGGCATGACTCAAACTTTTTTCAGTCTCAGTGGTTTGCCTGGACGTGCAGTTAGAGACAGGAGGGAGAAGCTGGTTGAAACTGGTAAAACCTGCAGCCTGCAGGTGGACACTTTGTGTCCTGTAGCTGTGTTCATCGGGTGCCCTCTAGGGATGAGAGGCTGCTCTCCCCCGGGGGAAAGCTCCAATGGAAGGGAAAAACTTCTGCAAGGCAGCATTTTTGCCCCCTTGAGGAGACCCTGGCAGATGCTTTATGTGTCTAGTTGTATGGACACGGATATATTGCTGCCTTGTCACCTAGCAGCTTGTTTAACAAGATGGGGAAAAAACAACATGAGTGGAGACACTCAGTGTAAAGCAGGAGATGTTTTCTTTCTGTCTAGTGGTGTTTAACTCCAGTTACAGATGCTGGATTGAAGAAAGCAAAGCAGATGCTGAAATACCTTTCCTATTGTCTTTCAGGAAATGGGAGAAAACAAGATGTTAGCTAGTTTTTCATATTAAACCACTTAATGAAATGCACCAATACTCACACTTGTGTATTGGTGTATATTTTTGCTTGTACCATGATTTCTCTCTCTTTTTGTCCTTTTCATTTGCAATTTATAAATGTTTGAACAGTACAGAACAGCAGAGTGATAATGAGAGACAAAGGGGACTGAAGTCATGCAATTTTTTGGACTCCTGCTTCATAGTCCAGTTGAATCCTAAAAAAAATCTCAAAAGGAGCAATTATGGAATACTCATTACTCAAATGAAATCGATTTGTACACAGAAAGAAAAATGGAGATGTTGGAAAGGATCTTGTTAGCAAAGCATAAATGACAAGGGTCAAGCTATTGCAGGATGGTGAAATAATTGTCAGACTTTATATATGGGGAAGGTAACTAGAAGCAGTGAAGTTGTCGATGAAGTACTTCACAAAATATGAGTTATAACCAGGTGAATACTCCTGAATAATGGAAATAAAACCTCCTTTATTAGTCAGTGCAATAAATAAAGATGCCATTGGTCAATTTGGAGAAACTGGTTTGCTCCAGCTTTGTGATGATGTAATTTTTATAACCCTGCATGCCTTTTTGCTCTTCATTCAGAGTAGATTTAATTTCTTTTTGTATTTCTCTTGCAAGAAGACACACACACACACACAAATAGAGAGCTGCAAAGGCACAGTTTTTCTTAAAAATTATAGTTGATTAACTGTCCTGGACGTTGAAAATAAATTCAAACCTAGCAAGAGCCCTACAAGTTAGTGTGTATTGATTTTACTGGTACATATGTATTTCCTTTTTTATATCCTTCTGTTTCCCTCTTAAGATTATTTTTGTGAGGGTCTAGCTAGGTATGCTTCACTGTTCTACTAGTACCTGTATTAGCCTTTTGTCCACCTCTTGACTAGATGATAAAAAAAATGAGTAAGTATGACAAAACACCTCTTTGTTTGTTTGGTTGGTTTTTTTACCCCCCCAAGTATCCATCTCTTCTAGGTTTTCTCTGTCAAATGCTTTAACCACTGCTAGAATCATTAGCTGAAGTGCATGTATACACAAACCTACAGTTTCAAACTTTTTAAATGATTTTGAAATATTCCAACTGTTTGTGCAGGAGGTGTGTTTTCTTCATTTTTTTCCTA